AATCTGATGATGTCTGCCGTGAAAGTCTCGACATGACCATTGCCTGGATGTTCGACAGGAAGAAGGAGCTGGAGCAATACCCCTTCTATCATGGCCAAGAAGGTGACTATCCATTGCCTCCAGTTGGTGGAGAGTTGGATCTCTGTGGAGTCCCTGAAGAGTATTCCACCATCTTCAAGGAGAAACTACGAATGTTTCTCATGGAGATTACCTCGCAGCCTCGCCATTGGCGTGTTATTTGCAAGGCCATGAAGTGGTCCCGGTTTGAGTTCCACTGTCGCAAGCTTTGGTTTGATGCGGCGTACCCCTGGGACGGATTGACATGCATTCCTTTGGCTCGGCTTACCAACGAGGATATTGAGTCTCGTCGTGATCAATCTCATCGCCTTGGGTACCTATGTCGCACACCCGACAACTACTTGAACCATTCCATGCATCGCTCCGGTATGGTTCCATACTGGCTCAACAATCCTCCATCTGATGATGATTCGGCGTACGATGACCACACCAACGTCGACCTGGTCAAGATTGTCGAAAGTGGAGCAAAAGGAAGAAGAGTCGGAAGAAGAGTCGGAAGAAGAGTCGGAAGAAGAGTCGGAAGAGGAGGACGAGGAAGAAGACGACAAAAAGCCTGCTGCTAAGCCTGCTGCTAAGAGCTCTGTCAAGAGCTCTGTCAAGTCTTTGGTTTCAACGCCACGTACTGGCCAAGGGCAGGGACACATGACTCCCAAGAAGCGCGGTGGAACTCCTTCCAGTTCCTTGGGATCAGGAAAGCGACAGCAATTGCCTCCATTTTTGGTCTCTTCCAGGGGCAGTAGTGGTCGTGGTTCCGACCGTGATCCTGTTATGATTGATGGAGAACACCCAGTTGCAAAGCTTCCTCCTGCACAGGTTCGCAAGAAGAGCAGCAGCCTCTTCGCTAGTCCCCATGGTCATTCTTCCCTTTCGGGGTCAAGCTGTGGAACGCCTGTGGACCTCCCAGTGGAACAGTCACCCGCATTCTCCACTGGCTCATCTTCTGGTTCTGCTGGAACTTCCAAGGCTGGTGTTCGGCGTTCCTTGATGGACACGGCAACTCTCACCCATAACTCAAGCGATGAGTCCGAAGAGTACTGAAGCCTGTTCAGGAGTTGGTGTTGAAGTGGTGGTCTTCAAGTGTTGTGTTCGTGCACTACTTACATGAAGTAAGTGATGTGGTTGGATTGAAGAATCGAATCGTCGGTGTGGTTCGATCCAGTGAGTCGAGTCGAGTCAGCGACGCGGTGATGGTCAGCGATCTCTTGAAAGTATGAGAAGGATTGTGGCGATCTTATGTGCGTCTATGGTATTTGGAAGGGTACATTATAACATGTTCCGTATTTACGTGGTTGGTCAGTCGTGGGAGTGTCACAGAGTTGGTATTATAACCATCATGGATATCTATATAAGAATCAGCTGTATGTGACTAGCCATTTCTCCGTTATGCCCCAACCACCAACCAGCAAGAAAAGTTCAACAAATCCAACATCCAAGTTATGGTAAGTTGCATGACTTGCATCCAACCAAATACTAGTACAGAATTAAAAATAAATATACAGTAGCACAAGCTGTACGCTGTACGGTAGCACACCAACCATCACAACACACAACAACGGGGAGCTCGGAGGGACGAGGGACGAGGGACGATGAACTTTTTATTTCCTTGTTTTAAAGCCCACCGTTCTGTCTTCCCACAGATGCTATTAATAGCTAGACTACGTACTCTGAGTAGAGTTTGCAATCTTAGAAGTAAGATTTAGTATTTGGATTTTCCAGTCCAGCTGGAACCATTCCCTAACTCCCACTTGTTCACCTTTTCTTTTTGGTCTCTTGCTGCGCCTGCTTTTGCTCTGAGACTTGTGACTCGTACTAGTTTGTACCAGTACATGTAGTTACTCTTGAGCTCTGGAGGAGTACGAGTGCTATCATAGATCTTAGATCTATCTTATCATAGCAACTTTGATCTTGACAAGCTTCTTCTTACTTGGCTGGTTGCTGGATGAACTCTGGCTTAAACATACGTGTCTTCCCCAAGCGTGGGGAATTCTATCTTGATGCTAGACGTCAGCACTGCGGAGTCCGGAGTAGCTCCAGAGCTTGTGCCTTGTCCAATCGAGTGTCGCTTGTGGCAGCTCTTGAGGCTTGAATCGAGTGTCCAACGATCCTCAATCTGATAGTAATCAATCATTCTACTGGGCATGTATTCCTACTAAGACTTATTGATTGCCCCCAATCATGCATGCGGATCCAATGATCCAACAATCTGTTCTTCTCTTTCTGTTCCATTGCTCGAGTACTAGCTAGTACTCAAAAAGTAGCATGAATATCCAATATCCTCCGGCCTCCGGCAGCACCTAAGTTGGCTGCTACTAGGCTAGCTAGCAGATGTCATTGGAACTACTCGGAGTGCTCCTAAAGCCAGTGGCAGGCCGCGCCTAATTCCCGATTACTTTAGTATCCATAGATTATTCACCTTTTTGAAACAGGTTCACGGTGTTTTCTGCAGGTGGTACCTGGTACTAGCTACTAGTCTAGCCAGAGGTTGTGCCGTTGTGCCTCTCATCACCTCTCACAGTCGTCGGCAAAAAGCAACCAACAAACCATACCGTGCGGTAAAGACTAAACATAACGCTAACCCTTGTTCCATCCAGAAGAAACCCAGACTGGCGAGCTTGCAGGAACGATGGCTAGTCACTCCTCATCGAATTCGGCTTTTTTCAGCGTTCGTCTCCTGTTTCCTCAGTTTACAATTGCTGTTTCCTCAGTTTGCTCGCTACTTGGATCCATATGATGAAAACATGCAATCCAGCCATTGTAGCCAGCTACGGTACCATAGGCAGAGAGCTACATCAATCCGTGACGGTGGCAACAGTACCAAACACACTCAGGTTCCGCTTTACTGGCTACACTCCGTTACTGGAACCTTGCATTGGATCCTTATGACGAATACATGCACAACCGAACATTGTCAATCCAGCCATTGTAGCCAGCTACCGTAGAGTTCATCGATCAGTGACAGTGGCAACAGTACCGAACACACTCAGGTTCGACTTTGCTCGCTGCACTCGGTTACCTCGCATTGGATCCTTATGACGAATACATGCACAAAACCGAATATTGTCAATCCAGCCATTGTAGCCGGCTACCGTACAGTTACATCGGCGACAGTGTCAACAGTACCGAACACACTCAGGTTCCGCTTTGCTGGCTACACTCCGTTGCCGGTATCTGCATTGGATCCTTATGACGAATACATGCACAACCGAATATTGTCAATCCAGCAAATGTAGTCGGCTACACACTGTATAGTTTACATCGGCGACAGTGGTACAGTCCGAACACACTCACGTTCGACTTTGCTCGCTGACTCGGTTACCTTGCATTGGACACAACCGAATATTGTCAATCCAGTCATTGTAGCCAGCTGCCGTATAGCTAGTGGCAACAGTACTTGACTTGCGCATACAGGAAAATGGGTACCGACACAGGAATCACCACCAAAACAGTAGGAAATAACAAGAAGGGATGAATCCGGTAGGAGGATCCACTCTCTTGTGTGTTGTCGTGTGGCCTCCTCCGGTTAACTGTTGCCATTCAATGACTCGACGACGTTTGTTCATGCTGTTGGTAGGGCTGGAGTTAACAGAGCCTCCGTAGTGGTAGCCTCGTTCGTTCGTTCGAAAAGGAGTCCACTATGGTAATTCCTCGGCCGTCAGCAGTAAGAGAAGAGAAAGTAAGAAATAGATATGGTTTTCTCTTCTATTCTGATACTGAGGAAAACCGGCGGCTTACCCTTGTTTTTCAAATTCCACCAACTTGGCCGTCATGGGCCAAGAACTGACTGCCATCCCATCATCCATATGATTCAATGAGGGATGGTTTTCCAATCTGCGCCGGAGACGGTCGGCTTGAGTGAGGCTTGGATAATAGAGGTGCGACCGATTCGACTCATTCGAATGCAGTAATTAAAACAACTCACCTGTTGACGGCCGAGCTTGGAATTCTCTCCTGTTTACCATAGAAATCCAATGAGGGAGAGAAGTCAGCGCTGTACCTTCAATAACAGGCTTGATAATAGGCTTACCTCATTGCGATCGATCGATCGATCCATCGGCCTATTGGATAAAGAACTCCTCCTACCGGTACACTCTTGTCGGCCAAGCTTGGATTTCTCTCCTGTTTGCCATAGGAATTCAATGAGGGAGAGATGTCAGTGCTGTGCCTTCAATTGAACCATTCATCGATCGTACCGTACTGTACTGGTACTCAATCAGTTTATCCTTAACCTTAGTAACTTCACCTCTTCTTTTATCCATGAATCGAATCAATCTAAATCTTTCGAAAGGGAACTTATTACTTAACGATACACATGACCGTTGATTCTGCAACTGAAGTGCGGCTACTCTTTTTTCCACAGTAAACGCTGGCAAATCGATTTTGGAGTGCAACTGAGGGGGTACCAAAAGGAGCGTCGTCTCCATGAGACGTAACAATCATTTCAAGTTGCATGGCTTTGATGATAGGGAGCTTCAGGAAGGATTATCAAAAGTTCATCCAACATACTCAGCCTCACGCTTTTCATCCTCCCTGCTGTTAGCTCTAGCAGCCATCCTCTGGCTGGGTGACAAAGCAATACGTCGAAACGAAACAATAGAATTGTTGCCGCTGCCCGCAATGGTAAACAGCTTTGGTTGCACATGGACTGCAAAACCTCAGCCAAGCATGAAACCCGTACCGTGCGGACATTACCTGGTTGGAGCTCCTTTTGCGAAATTTACTGTCGTACCGTCTCTTCCTAAAAGTTTCTCTTTCCAAGAGGACAAGTAAGTAATCAACTACCGGTACCGTACAGCATGCTCCAAACTCAATGAGCGTGGGTTCGCCATTCGTTGACGTTTGGTGCTTCAAAATACAAGCAAGCTGTCAAACCGGCCGACAAGGACGAAAGCTCTAAGATTAGCTGAATGCAAGAGAGAGAGAGAGACTAGACAAGACAAGTTGCGTTGAAAAAACATGCATCTTATGATGAAGGATTAAGTGCTCGCTAACTGACGCTTCTCGTTCTCTGTTTGTTGTTGTTGTTGTGTCAGTCGTTCAATCCCTCCCGTTGTTGTGACGTTTTGTTGAGTTTCTGCAATACTATTTGCAAACATTTTGTATGCCACCCAAGTTGATTGTTCTAATTGGCAGCCCGTTCCATTTGTTTAATTCATCTCACAGTTTCTGTTCATTGTCGTCGTTCCTCAGTCTCCAACCTCCTCCATTACTTCCACAGCCAGCCACTTCATTCAAACCAACCATGCATTTAAGCCTTGGGAGAGTGAGCCATGGTAGTGCTGGTGGCATGTACCTCTTGGTTGTCGTTGTGTTGCTTTTTCTTGTGATGCACTTTTTTGTGCTCGACGGCATGTCCTTCCTGTACATCCTCTTTGTGAGCCTGTTGAATGGCATCATCGTATGCCTTTTGGGCCATATTGGAAGCTTCCAATCGCTTCAACATTTGATCACGCAAGTCCTGCATTTCCTCGACACGCGCTTCGGCTTGAGCTTCGGTAATGAATCGTCCATTGTGATCCATAAATTCCTTGAATCCCATGACGCCCAATAACATGGAGATGGTGGCGAATTGTCCAAAGACACGAGTGTGCATGACCTTCATACTAAAGGTCAAGTGCTCCTGACCGGCACGTCCATAAAAGATCCACGCCACTCCCGGCACGGCCAAACTGGCCAAGACTTTGAATGGATTTTCGGCCACGTAATTGGCGGCAATGTGATGGACCGACAATTGATTGCCGGGAACGACACGGACCCCACTTTCGTAAACGGCCCTTCGATAGAGCGCGTTCAATTCTTCCTGTTGTTCCGCCAATGGCCCCGTGCGCTTTGTGAGTCGTCGTTCCGCCCAGGCGACGGAATCATGGGAGTGTTGATTTTCCTTGGCAATTTCTCGCATGCGATGGACCACCTTTTCTTCCGCCGTAAAGCCAAAGACGAATAGAGCCGGCATGATGCACAGCGCTGTGCGGGCCTGCATATTGGTCGAACGACGCAACCAGGGAGACTGCTTTACTGCCACATACATGGCGCCCGTGGTCGGAATCAATGTAAAGAGTCCATTTAAAAGTCCTGTCAAGAAATAATAAAATAACAGAAAGAGTGAGAAACCATTGTGGTCGAAAATAAAAATCTCAAGTTGGCTTGGCTGATCAACTGAGGCTGAAAGAAAAATAAAAGTCTTGCTCCTCTGTCCCATCCACCATCATCTTTGGACGTCAAACACCTTCAACTCAATTTGAACCAGGACAAAAATGGATGATGAAAAGACTTCGTACCTTCTTTCATGGCATCATTGCTGACTTCTTCTTTGCGTGTATCGGGAGTCAAAGAGGGCATCTTGAGTTTGGTTTGGTTGGTGTAGTTTTGGTTTGGTTGGTTGCTAGCAAAGGCAGCAATTGGTTTTTGGTTGCTATAGAATTGTTTCCTTTATCGGATTTGTGTGCTTGTTCTCATGCAAAATATTATAATAGATCATGCTTGTTGGCCTTGGTCATCAGCCAATCCTTTGCGTTCTCACTCCGCAAGCCCAAGTCATCGGATGATTCGAATTCGTGACGCATCTCGGTTAGGCCTCATTTTCAGCTTCCACTGCAATCCTTGGCAACTGCACTTCACCACGGGCAGCAAAGGATTTAACATGGCCAAACACAACTGCTCGGGAGCTTTAGAGGACCATCAGAGTCCCGCACTTTCAGTCTTGTGGGAGTCCAATGCGAACCGTCCAAATCAGGATATCCCGTCGGCAATCCAATAGAGCCTTCTTTTCTGTTGCCACGGACGAGATTGCTTTCACGGCAGCAACTGCTGCAGGAAGCACTCCAGAAACATCAGAGCATCAGAGATTAGGCTGGATCAGGTTTCGCCTGGCATGGCACGTGACAATCCTACCTTTGCTGTCATTGCTCTTCCATCCATGAAGTCGCAGCCATTCGATAGGTTGGCCGGTACATTTTGTAGTTCATGGGGGGCTGTGGTTGCAGGTTTGGGTTAGATCTAGCCGCAGAGCCGCAGTGAGGGACCTACAGGTGCCTGGTATGGCACATGACTACCGTATCTGCCATCCGTCAAGCTGTAGCCATTCGATAACTTGGCTGGTAGTTCATGTGGCGCTGGTGTAATTGTGGCTGTAGGTTTGGTTAGCCGCAGTGAGTGAGGGCCGGACAGCCCACCAGCCACGTGGGGGAGAGTAGAAACCAGCCACATGGCTCTAAGCTCGAAGGACCGCCAGCAGCATGCACTTGGCTGCTGGGCAATTCTTCTAAGGGAGAGCCATGCCAAAGCGAGAGTCAAGACGCACCTTGCTTTCTGAACGAGTTCCTAGCTAGCTAGTGTGGCACGGTACCGAAGAGGTGCGATGAGAAGCTGACTGGGGGCTGGCCTGGGGGAATGGAAGGAAGCCCGACGTGCATGTGACCTCTTTTGAGGTTTTCATGTAAACAAGATGTTCGTGTACCAAAAAAAATCCACATCCAACAGAGTTGCTAGTCCATTAGGCCAGTGGGCATCACGCAATTCGGAGAGTAGAGTCAAGGTTCACACCGAAGATGGTTTTCTCTCTAATCTTACCTCCTACCTCAGCTAATGGGCACTTTACGCCGTGCGAGGAGGGACAAAAGAGATCCACCTCGTTGCTCTGCTTGACTACTTTTGCCTGTTGCTGAGATGCTTTGATTCTACTCTTTTAAAAGAAGCCTGAGCCATCGATCTGTTCCAGGTTAACTTTTTTGGATGAGAAGCTACCCAAGCGGATAGCTGGAGGAGAGGACTGCTTTTGTGTCAAACATCAACCCGCCGGTTGCAAAATGTATGAAAAACAATGTAGCCATTGTCAATTTTCCCAGGTTGCTCCTTTTGGTCACCAACCAACGAGCCGGGCATTAAATTAAGTTTCACCTGCAGGCAAACAACCAACCAACGAGCCGGGCATTAAATTAAGTTTCACCTGCAGGCAAACAACCACTTCACAACCTTCAGTATGTCATCATTGTGCGCCCTCGTCTGCTATGTATTCCTCTAGAATGGACTCCACCTCATCTGTATCCGTACCTCCTTGCTCTTCCACCATGTCCTGCAGCATCAAAGCTCGTGTCGCATTTCCTCCATTAAGATTCTCCGTTTGGGAGGCTGCTCCCGATCCTAGTCCTGCTACAACATCGCCACTCAGTAGATCCGCATTGTCCACGTCAAAACAGAAGGCAAAGTCATAGCGCACCGGATCCAGCGCCACCAAGGGCCAATTCCGTGGAAAGTTGGACGGAACATGGGTATCTTGTGACTCGTCGCACAGTCCAAAGACAACATCCGTCTTTGTACCGGTTGTGTCGTCGTATCCTGGACATCTGTAACTGAAATGCCGATCTCGGCTGCCATCATTGTCGCAGTCCTGATAATGACAAGCGCAAATTGTGGTGGACTCGCCCAAATCATTGGTGACCTCCACGGCACATCCTGTACTGGTGGATCCGACTGACAATTCCGTGTATTCATAGAGATCTACCTGCTCTATGATCTGGCCAAAGTAGTGTCGGAAGAAGACCGACGACAAGGCATCGGAGGCAAGGGATTCTTCATTTTGTAGAATAGCGGCATCGTAAACATAAGCATCGTGTTTGACGATGCATAGATCTTCACTGCATTTCTGGCAATAGTCAAAGATGCAGTTGACAGAGTACGCTTGATAACTACTGAAGGGATCTGCGAAACAAGTGCATGGCGAGTTGGCCCTAACGATAGTGTCATTGGCGTAGATTTCGCTGTAGGTATAGTCGATCAGATCCTCACAAATTGGATCTGCCCCTGTGGCGTCAATCACCACTAACGGTATCAGGACCAGAAAGGATGATGCCAAGAGGAGTAGCTGCCGCATCATTGTCGTTGTTGTGGGGTGAGGCGAGGTTGCTTGTGGGTGAAGAAAGGAGTGGAGGGAGAGCCGAGAAGACGAAAAAAGTTCCGCGTAAAGCGAAACTCGTGACTTAACGGGTGACCACGAACAGCCCAGTTGGCGGGCTGAAACGGTTTCCCGTTAGAAGAGAGCAGGCGTAGCTCTTGTGTCATCCAGTGGTGTCTTTAACTCTTCTAGTCGTGGCTACTCAACGGGTGCGTTCTCCTTAGCCTCCGCACTCCGCAGCACCGCCACCGACACTCCGCAGCACCGCAGGAAACACCAGCTCCGGCAACCAGACAGCAACGGACAACACTGACCATGGAAGGTAGCCAGGCAGCGTGTTGTTGGTGTTATAGGGTGTTATAGAGCATGAAATCAGTGCTCATCAGTGGCTCAGTCTCATCTCGTCACCTGTTGTTTTCATCTGGCAGATTCTGTCATCCCAACTTCTGGCAGAATCTGTCATCCCAATTTTGGAGGTCACCATGTTGAGCTCACTTTTTTGTTCAACCGGATTGCTAGAGTTGCATACCCAACCGAACAAGGAAGACTTTCGCGATTGTTGATAAGCCTAGGCCAGATCAACCCCCCTACTTTCAATTACCTTTTCTACCAATCTTCTATTCAATACCTATCAATTGCAAAATGAAGTTCTCTTCTTCTATCATCAAGCTGCTCTCGTGGTCCTGCTGGACCACCAACAACCACAACAGCAACACCAAGAACACCCCCGTTCTCCAGGTCGCCAAGGAGATGATGGGCAACAACAACAAGGATGTTCCTGCGACAGAGGAAGTCCCAATCAAGTTCCAACTGGATGAGTTGGACAAAGATGTCGTCCAAACCGCGGCACTGTTGCACAACTATGGAACGAATCCTGATGTGGAGTTCCAGCAGCACGGTCGCTACCTAGGTGCCTACAACCTTTCCCTGGTTCCATCGGATCAGCATGGTCACTACGGATACGACAAATACAACCAGCACCGGCCCAAAGGCTGTCGCATGCAACCCAGTCAATCAGCCAACGCTCGCTGGAAGACCCATTACGGTCAAGACACCGAACGGAGCAATGGAAACCGTTTATCCTTTGCTCCCGTCAACACTGTAATGGGGTACTCTTCTGATGAGAGCGAACAAGAAGAAAAACGTGATGTCTATCGAGACATTAAGAAACAAGAGCCACAGGCCCGATACGAATTCTGGTGTGAAGCCCAACAACAATTCAATTCCATCGGCACACAGATACCCCACGAACGCGTCTTGGATCTCGTTCAGTTGATTCAAGAGTACGGATACCAACAAGTGGCCAAATGGATCACCAACAACAAATGGTTCCAAAGCGACAAAGCGTACCTACAAAAAGCCAAACTGTACATTCAAATTGATGCCGTGCATCAAGACCTCGAGGGACTTGTTCGTTTTATCCAGGCGAAGAAAGGAAACGACAAGCAAGTCGCCCACTGGTTCATGGTCAACGAAAAGAACCCTTACATGTTCGAACTCGCCATGTGCCACTTGCACCACGGAGGAATTCAGCGCAACGCTGACGACGAAATTTGCACCTTGAATACGCGAGAACAGATTGCCAAACGACGATTTGTCTATCGCAAGGTCAAGGACGTCTGCATGGAAGATGCAGCACCTGTAGTAGTAGAACAACAACCAACAACAACTAAAGACATTGAGACAATAGAAACAGTCTCGACCGTCGACGACAACAAGATGGCATCCGATGCCACAATCACATGCAAAGCAGCGATGGTTCCCACATGCACAGCAGTGGTCCCATACGTTCAAAAGTGGCATGTGGCACACTTCAAGATCAGTGTGCATGGACAACAACCATTTGTATTGGAGATGCGAATGATGAATGGCGTGCTACTTGGAGTGGTACCCAACGACATTCTCGTAGCCTTGATGAAGGACGGTGGAGACCTTGTCAAGGAATTGATGCGGCGGCACAAGACACTACGATTGGAGGCAGGCGTTGCCTTGGACAATACGGATTACGAATTCGTGACTGGCCAAGTGGAAGCTGAAGAACCACTGGTCGAGGTCGAGGAACAACAACAAGTTGATGCTGAAGAACCACTGGTCGACAACCGAGTCGACGAGGAGGACAATGTGGACACAGCACAATCAACTTTGCGACGATCAAAGAGACGCATGGCGGCGATTGCATCTCAGAGAATTGCAGAACAAATGAAGCCACGGCGGGTGGCCGAACAACCTAGAATTAAACGTAGCAAGAAGAAAAAGTCGACCAAGCCAAAGGTGAAGGGCAAGAAGAAGACAACGACACCTGTGACGGACACACAGCAGCAAACAACAGTTCAAACAACAACAACAAGTCGATCTGGACGGCGAGTAAGACAGCCTGATCGGTACATTCCATGCTAGATCGACAACAGGTACGTGATGACGGATTGTGGGATCTACTAACACATGAATACAATACACAAAGAGCAAGCATCTGGTGGGGTGCAGGGCTATACAACAATTTTGCGGAGATGAATACAGTTGGTTCAATTGAAGGGTCACATCGAAGGTAGCCAGGTTTGTGGTTCCTGTGCTAGGCAGCCTCTATTGCAGAGTGCTTGTCCGAACGTCCTCCACGAGACGAAAGTCCAAAGTTAATACCCGTGACACCTGACAACCAACCTCTATCATTGTTGATGCTATGCTACAATCTAAAAACAAACAAACATAGGCATAGAACAATAACACATAGTAGACAATCTTTACAAACAAAAATTATGGCTTCATTCTTTATTATAGTAGTAGCAGTCGTACGAAATGTACCCGTAGCTAAAATGGTAGTTCATAATCATAGTAGCATCCATTGTGGGGCAAGCCGTGGCATGTATGCATAAGCGGTCGTCGTGACCATGCGCATCAAGAGGTAACTATGCATATTCGGGCCATGTTTCTGCAAAGGGCTGGACACCTCGGAAGCCTCGAAAATAGTATGCCCATGAGAATGGCTGCCCATAGATGAAACTGCAGGCTGGAGAGGTGGTCAGCAAGTCCTGCTTCCAGTGCCTCATGCCCACAGGATTGGCAACGAAGATACTACACATGAGAAAGCAATTTGTGTCCGTGCAGAAGTTATGTAGTGTTTCTATAGCTAGATGGGCTTCTGACGAAGTTTTCACGCGTTGTCAGCAAGCCAAGCTATCTGATGTTTCGTGCATTTTTGGCTACAAATTGAACGCAGCCTGCCTACCAGCAGCAGTCTTTGTTCTCGCCCTCGATCATATCAGAAGGAGAAAACGACCAGAGCTCCTTTCCAGTGTCGACGTCCGTTCCCACAACATATTCGCCACTGGCAGTGACAAGGACCCTACTGCCATCACTCTCATCGAACACGTAGCTCCTGGACCCGTGGAAATATCCATCGCAGTAGTGGCAAGTTTCGCCCCTGCCACGATGGTTAATCCGAAGAAGTTCCACAATGCCCTTCTCGGGGACATTGCTCACGTCAAAGACAATGAATCCTTGGAAATCGTCATATTCTGAAGAGCTCGATGAAGCGGCGACAGGAAACGACGGCGGCGGTGTGCCTGTGTGGTTGACGAAAAGCTCCTCCTCGAGATGTTCAACCTCTTCGTTGTGGAAATCGTCAGAGGGATAATACGACCGATACATCTGCACGGGGATCACCAGAATACCGCCGTCTTTGTAGAGCGTGGCCGCCTTTGCGTCCCATTCGGCGTCTGAGTGGGTCTCGAAACCAGCTTCGTTGGCCAGAATGCGATCCGCCACCACTTGTGGGGCATCCGGATCAGATACATCAAAGACAGTGATCAAGCCCCATGAACTCCTTGGCCTGTGTCTTTCGTCGGAACTCGTCGTGGTGGTGTTTTGACCCATTCCAATCAGCAGAGTCTTGTCATCGTCAATCTCCAGAGGTCTGAGGGAGCTTCTCGCACCCTGCTCGAGGACGACATGGGTTCGTAGGGAGGGCCCCTGAGCCACATCAAGGTCCAGGACGTAGAAGCTTTCCTTCCTCATTGGCAATTCTGGCATCTCCCCCATCTCCTGCTCATTCATGAGCTCAGGAAACATACCCGGAACCAAGCCGATAGTATGGTCGAACGTAGTGACATAGCCAGCCGATTCATCAAAGTAGACCGATGTGACGGCTTCGTGGTCGTTCCCGACTTGAAGGGTTCCGTGCTCCACCATCTCGCCTTGTGGCGAAAGGTCCAATACAGTCACAAAATTCTCGGTGGAGGAAGTTGGCTCGTCAGGATCCGTCTCGCAGGTGAACTCGGTGTAGGGGCATCCACCGCTCTTGACCAAAGTACCCGGGCACCCCCAGGCAACCGTGGAGCATTGGATCCAGTTGCTCCCGTCCAAGCACATGTCTTCTTGGTAGTAAATGTCGCCGCAGTTGGCCCAAACGTTACCGAAATGATCCCATCGTTGAATGGTTCTGACCACACGAAGATCCGAGCCGCGAATATCCAATGCACTACCGGGTGAGTGCACGGAAAGACGACCCTCCAACTTGGCGAGCGAATGGAACTCCATCTTCAAGGGGTCGTCCTCCTCCAACGATTGCATCATGGACACCAAGAAGAGAGAATCATTGCTGCGACCCGTGGCGTCATCCCAGCGAGAAGATCTCATGGACAAGACAAGAGACGAGTCGCTTGTTTCTACCCTTTCCACGTTAGGACCGAAGAAGCTCGAGACGGACGTCTTGATCGATTCTTCGTTATCTTCTTGCGTGGTAAGGCTGCTGATATCCATCAAAGTGATTTCGTTGTACGCCTCCATAATGTCTCGTCCATAAGACCTGCCCGTGGGCGCGGTGTCCTCGTCGGCCCCCCACGTGTTGATTCGCATCATGTTCTTGACGTCGTCTTCTTGATCCCCAAAGATTGCCTCACTGATTTCTTCCACAAACTTGGGGATGAGGTTCTTGGATGCCATTCCCATGGCCTTCTCGACGTATTGTTCCTTGGTGGCCCAAGGAAAGTGGTGAACGTCCAACCCATCAAAGTGCACATCGAGCCACGACGACGTAATGACTTGGAGCGAATTCGGCATCAAGACCGCGTTCGAGTACGAACCGCGCATATTCTTGGATCGGACGAGGGGCATTTCGTTGTTTTGAGGCTTGGCATACACGCGAACTTCCGTGTTGTCTCCGCTCAAATAGGGACGGCCGCCACAAGGATCCCGATACATCACAGGGATGGGCTCACTGAGATGACGGCGACGCCTGCAGTAGTGGCCTCCATAGTGACTGGCCAGGACAATGAGATGATCTTGTGTCAAAAAGAGAGCATTAATGTGTGCCTTGGGCTGCCAACCCCTGTGTCGACCGGGTTCTTCTCCTTCCGGTGAGGGCATCTTCAAATGTTCCACAGAGTTTCCTTGGTGATCCCAGACCAACACATAGTCTCCGTAGGCGGCATAGACATAGTTGTCATCACGAACAATAAAGTCGGCTTCCTTGTCTTCTTCTTCCTCTTTCTTCTTCTTCTCTTGCTTTACTTTGGTTTCCTCGTCCTCGTCTCCGCCAGATCGTTCTTGGACCGCCGGCACTTCCTCCCTAGCCACAGCTACCTCCTCGCTGGATACCGGTACAGTATCTGGTACTGCTGCGTCGTCTCCGTTTGCCTCTGTCATGTCTTCAGCCAGCTGCTCCCCCTCCTGGTATTGATTGTACTGCTGATCTTGGTTTTGATTGTACTGCTGATCTTGGTATTGATTGTACTGCTGATCTTGATGGTAGATATTAAAGTTGATGATCTGGTAGACCATGTGCTTGGCCGCCCGGATGAGATCCTCTTCAAATTCCTTTCGAGAGGTATACCCTGTCAAGACATCCGCAGAGAACGTGGGGATCCGCGCATCTTCAGGGATCTCCAAGGCAAACGGCTGGTTTTCGTCTTCTGGCTCGACGGGTTTGACGCTCTCTGCTTCTTGCGGCGGCGGAGGTTCGGTCGTGGTTTCGTTGCTGTTGTTTTGAACGTTGTCCACCGCGGGAGCTTCCACCGCCTTGTTCTTCTTGTTTTTGGTAACGACCACCGCAGGCACAATCACCACAAAGACCAACAACAAGAGACACACAAAGAGTCCCAACGCCCATACAAAGTTCCTCTTCTTCTTGACAACCACAACATCGACTTCATCCGGGTTCTCTTCGGTCTCTTCGATGAGCAAGGGATCGCCACTCAGTTCTGTACTTCCACTACCCGATTCTTCGTCACCATGGTACAACTCCATAGAAGCCACTACCGTCACGTCCTCCTCGTAGTCTTTCATCGTCGTGTCCTTCTTCTTCTTCGTTCAACAATAGGATACCGGTACTCTGCCGTACTTCTTTTTGTGCTACTGGACTATCTTTGTCGAGTCGTTTCTTTTCTGGGCGGCAAAGAAAAGAAAAAGATATCGATCGCGCAAACGTAATCGAAGCAACCCAAGCCGTGCAGATGCGCAGAAGCGCACCCTAGCCTCATCCCATCATTCGCTCCTTTCGCCAGGTCACCTCTCAGACGTGCCTGTTCTTCTAATTAAAATTGATCTTACACGATGAACACAGGGATACCGTATGGTACCGTAGTAGGTACGCAAGTACTTTTGTACTAAAACTACACAGTGCCTTTCACCAAAAGTGAATAAATTTCCGAAAATATTCGCGTTTTTGGCGATGTGATCCCACAAACATGTGAGACGACACTCTTTTCAGCACTCGATCGATAAGCCCCATTTTACTGGCATGCACACTGGTACAACCGTGCATTAAAAGCCCGGATCGATGGAGCTTCTTGGACTTTCCACTGGTTTCCGGCCACGACCCACGACCTATTTCGTCCCCACGCGCGCGCAAGACCTTCCCATGCAACTCAAGGTACTTTGCACTCTCAGAACTATCAAAATCATGAAGCAAAAAGTGAAATTGCTAAAACTACTGGCTGGGTGATTGCGCCAGCGCTTAGCGGTACCAGTAGTGCTTAGAGCAACTCAAGTACCCATACGGTACCGCTTACTCGTAACTGTAGCATTCTCAGCATTCTCAGCAAGCCAGAAACCTGCTACTAGCAAGCTGTCCACAGGTAGCTAGCTACCCTGGTAGTATCCAGACCACCAAGCTGGCTAAATGAAGCGCCGAATGATTCAATCAGGCGCCCACTGCAAACAAAGCTCTCTACTTCAATCATAAAATCAGAACAAAACTAGAGTAGAAAACAAACACTATACTTTGCCTTTTTCATTGCAAAAAATGAGTTCACACCATACAATTCCTTCCTTTCCACTGCTGCTAGCTTTTGGTGTGGGCATGCACAGCCTCATTGCATACGGCACCTTTTCCTTTTCCAGGGAGAAGCTCTCCAGTTATGTCACCATTGAGAGCTCCTACCAGTTTGATATCATTATAAATGTCCTTTATCTGCTCGCCATTGATGCAGTGCTGTCAATCCTCCAACTTGACAGAAACAGTATTCGCCAATGACATTGGAAAATCAACACTAACTTGTCTGTTGCATTGCTGATCTTTGGTGGAGACTACAAGGTATCCAGCACTGTCATGTTTGCTCTCATGATGGCTGGAATATACTACCGATTCAAGGATGCCAACCAAACTGCTTATTTGGTTGGTTTGGTCAAGTATCTAAAAGGAGGAGATGACTACAATGACATCACCATTGGCAGAAACTACAAGTACTTTCTGTTGACAGTTTGCGAGATTATCATGATCTACAATTGTTTCTTTCTCTCCCCTTGCTGTTTGTGATTCTTGATGCAGTGTGGAACCGTGTTACTGGAGTACCCAGAACGAAGATCTCAGACTACTATGTGTCTGTGTTCACTGCCAGTATGGATACTGGTTTGTCGGTTGCATTGCTCGGAGTTGACACTATGCCTGACATGCATTGGCAAATGGCTTTGGGGCTTTTGTCATCTACCACCTTTGCCTCTCTGTGCTGCTGCTCGTCAACAACAGTGTCATTTGGCAGTCTTTCCAATTGATCAACAACAAGTACGGCTACATGTCAATGTTGGCATTCTTCCTTGTCTCTGCAAATGCTGGGTCTCATGGGCACACGGTGTTTGTCTTCTTGTTCAATCTACTTTCCAACGTATTGTTTATGTACCTTTCTGCCTCAATTGTTCCATACTTCTTGACTGGAACCAAATACAGCCACAAGGAAGCTGCCAAGGAACAGCTTGTGATCAAATTCAAATCTGCATAACAACAATTGATTTCTCTCCATTCTCAGCTACTAGCTAGAGTCAACGCAGCAGAGAGCTCGCAGCGCAATCTACTACATGTAGAGTCTAATCCAATCTGTAAAAAAGAAAGCTAATATCATTTTTCTAAATCGTTTTGTCGATTTTGACTTCGTCTTTTCAAGGCTGTCACTCTCCCGATGGGCCAACACAGTGCGCTGTTTGGAATAGGCGCACCTGTTGGGTCGCATGCATACCTGGTACCACGAGGGTTGCATGAGCTGTTGCATGCATACCATGAGGCATGCGAGCAATTCCGAGCGAACGATCAATCGAATAGTTGAGAATAGCTAGGTAGCATACCTTTGCCTTGCAGAAGATACGATCCTGTGTGGCTCATGCTAGCTAGTAGGGTAACCAATAGAAGCAGATCCTCAACCATTATCTAGTAGTAGCATTGGCAGCTACAGCGAGCTGGCCTTGACAGCCCAGTGGAGGGGGGTTTCCATCAAACAGAGACGAGACCTCCCAAACTGGCACTTGCCAAGTCCTTGGCATTGAGCCTTTCCTAGCTAGGCCGGCTGCGGCTCCCTTACTGCCGGCTACCAACTGAGACCCTTTCAGTCCATCATGCTTTACCAGACAGCAAGTCAGTCAGTCATCCTTCCCAACAAACAGTAGTCTACACAGCACAGCGGACTATATGAATGACATTGAAAATGATGTGGGCACTATGAATGTATGTATTCTCTAACAAGTGACAAGCCGCAAAAGTCTGCTTTCTCCTGTTAATTCAGCACCTCGGCGGCTGTTCGATTCTTCTATGACCTCAGGTTACCCAGCTTGGTATCTGTCTGCTGCAGTTGCTGCCGCCCATCCTCCTCCAACTCTCGTCTTCTGGTTACCGTTGGCACATTCGATGGTGCGGGGGATACCGAAGGTGCTGGCGATGGCACTTCCTGAAAACAACTGGTAAAGTCAAACAACATGGCCACCAACGGATCGTGAATTCTGATCTTGTCAGGGGACCGTGTATCGCCGACTCCATTGCAGTTTCCAAAGCGGACATCATTTCCTCCCGCCAATGGGTAATTGGGACAATCGAAACTGTAGGTGATGGTACCGTCGTTGTGACAGTCATGGACTCCACAGGTACAGATTTGGTCGCCATCGGGAACGGCGACTTGGTTGACATTGACGGTACACTGATGTGTGCTGGGGGATTGTCCCAACGTCAGTTCGGTGTATTGGTAGTCGTAGTATCCCAAGGTATCATTGAAGTAGTTGCGATAAAAGATTTCCACAGTGGCTTGTTCCATGAGACTCTCTGTCCTTGGACCAGCAGCGGCGGGTTCCAAGATGTTTGCATCGAAGATCAAGAGATCTTGCTTGATAATGCACAGCGCCCCATCCATCCAAGGTCGACACTGTTCGCAGTAGTCAAACATGCAGCTCAACGCATAGACGGGATTTAGAGGGTCTCGAAAACACTCGCAAGCGAAACTGTCTTCCATCTTGGAGCTATTGTAGATACCATGGTACGTATAGTTCAACAGATCATCGCAAATAGTATCTGACAAAGGCGGTGATGGGGCGGGCGTTGGTGGAGGAGCAGTCGTCGACTCCGTCAACACCAACACGCTGGTAGATAACACTAGATATCGCAGTACCAACGTCCTCATTGTCATTGTCTTCTTCTTCTCTTCATCCAAAAATGATCCTCTTTTTGCAAGACCTCCAACCTCCAACGCAAACCCCACCTCGCGCGTCCTATGTCCTATGGTTCCGCTCATTTTACAACCGTGAATGCAATTGCCAGTCTCCTAAGTGTTGCAGAAACTAGTGACGCAAAAGATTTATCCAAAGAACGTCTCAATGTCGCTACTGAGATGGGATGTTAGTCACGATTACAGGTGTATTAGTTGGGGTAAACACAAAATTTTAATACTCCAAACTTACCGCAACTACGCATACTGTACCTCAGTTTGTCCATTTGCATTGTTGCCACGGAAGCAAAGATGGATGGTTCCCTCTACCGCCACCTTAGCTACCCGCCCTGGTCATCGTACCACCGACCTATTGCTCCTAGCTAGAGCAGAATATCGGTACGGTACCTGGTACGCTGTAGCACCTCTCTGAACCATTTTGGCTGAGAGATTCTCAACTCTGGTTGTGCGAGGTTACTATACCGGTATGGGTCCAGGTGAGGCCATGAAAAACTTTCTACCAGGTAGCTAGCTAGCTAGTATTTTTCGATGGCCAATTGGGATCCATCCTATTTTGAGCTTTCAACCGTGTAATTCCACTGAGTGGTGCATTGGAATGGACTGTTAATAACCGCAGCCACGAAAGTTTGGTCCTTGTGGAAGCAGACGAACGCACCGGTACCGGTAGCACCAAGATCAGAACTGTCTGAAATGGGTGTCTTCCAGCTCAACAAGCTTATCAGGAAATCCATTCCAAACGCCGACCTCCAACCTCCATTCAACATGCTTGCGAGGAGTGGCCAAGGCTCGATGCCTTCATGATCATTGATCCTCACTAAAGAATGGGTGGGAAGAGACAGGATGACGGGGAATCTGAAGCAGTCAAGCATGATGATGTTGATGCAATAGATCCCAGTCGAGTATTTCTAGCTCCCATGGTCCGAGGATCAGAGCTAGCTTTTCGGCAGTTGGTTCGGCAGTACGGAGTCACTGTCTGTTACAGTCCCATGCTGCGAGCGGCGGAAATCATCAAGGCGTATGGCTATTACAAAAGCAAAACAAGCAAGAAACGTCAAGATATTGACAAAGATGAAGACCAAGAAGAAGAAGCTGTTCTCCATGAAGATGGCTGGTTGTTACTAAATGACATTCTGGTGGATCCACATCCAGTAGTGGTACAGCTCTGTGGCAATTCCCCCTCCATCTTGCAACAAGCCACACAAGTCCTACTTGAAATCAACCAACACTTTGTTTGTCAAATAGTGGGGATTGACTTGAACTTGGGTTGTCCACAAGACTGTGCGAAACGGGGTGATTTTGGAGCCTTTTTGGCCGAGGACAATCCACAGAAAGCATGTGAATGTGTCAGTGCCATGAGACAGGCCATACAAAAACATACTACAACAACATTCACTACTACTAATAGACCCAGACTTTCGTGCAAAATTCGACTTCAACAAGACTCGGCCCAAACGGTGCAGTTGGCAGAATCACTGGCACACGCGGGGTGTCAATTGCTGACCATTCACTGCCGCCAACGGACCGACAAGCACGACGGGATACCCAATCTGCAAGTGGCTCGTGATGTGGTACACGTCCTTCAGGAAGATAGCAGTAGTATGCCCATTGTCTTGAATGGCTGGCACTGGAAAGATGCACCGCATGCCTTGGCATCCACTGGAGCGTACGGGGTCATGTTGGCACGCGACTTTTTGAGAAATCCACGGCTCCTGCAGCCACAACAACATGCCAACAATTACTATCCTGGTCAATTGGCCGCCGAGTACTTGGAATTTGCAAAGCGGCATCCACCACCGTCGCCCATGTACATGAAATTGCATCTACGGTGGATCTTTCGTGCTGCTCTGGAACCACGCGACAAAACAATACACCCCGCAATCCTCTATGCCAATAACAACTGGAAACCACGTCTATGGACCTTCTTGGCACGACCCTATCTTACCTGTCTCGAACAGTTTCGACAAGTCGTCTTTTTGTACTTTTATCATTCCTGGCAAGATGACAATGAAACGAAAGAGGACGACAACACCTTGTTGCAAGCGGCAGTTCCTGCGTCACTTCAGGATTTGGCCATACAGCATGAACAGCAACAACTCATAACATTTCGCAGTATTCGGTACCACTACAACCGTTAACACAGTTCCGCTACGAAAATGAGGTTCAAGGCCAGAAGTGGATTCATTGGGTCCGTCTTTTCTCTGTTTTTCTTTTTGTCCATCGGTGACAAGCAAGAAGAAATTCTCTCTTTTGTTCATGTTGCCAAATGAAACAAGAGTGTGTTGCTGCAGCTACTACCTATGCAAAGCCGAAGGAAAACCCATTTGAACCGAGCTCCCTACTAGCCCCAAAATGCGACAATGGCATTCCTTGGTAATAAGATACATCGTACCAATGCTTTATCGTCGCAGGAAGATTAAATTTTTTTGAAGAGCTGAGTCACGGATCCTTATGGGATCCTCCAAGATCCACCAAGATCCATCTACGCGTGACTCACGTGTCATTAAATATAATCTTATAGGAGAGGCACGAATGACCAAAGATCCACCTCTCTCTCGCCACAGCTGCTCTTCCCACATCCCAAAAAGAGACAAACCAAAGCAACACCTGTACCATTTGACTGCAAACCATGTCGCCCCTGACCGATAATCAATGGTGGAGCGAGTTCCTTAAGAACGGGGACGTGACAGACGAGATATTCACTGCTGGACAGCTTGCATTGTTTAAAACCTACCAATTGTCGCAAGATCAGAAGCGTATTTTCCAATGCGTCAAGACGGGAAAGAACCTGTTTCTTTCCGACCTCATTACGGACGAAGAGATCATTTGGAGCATTGGTGTCATGGGCGTGAACAACGCACATCGCGGAGTGCGACGGGATACAGCTTACAATTCAGCTTTACAGCTTTATCATTAGCAGGCTTATTCTAGAAAATAATCAATAAACTGCTCACTTATTTGGAAATACAAACTTTACATCTCTTAGATCCCTAGACTAGTCAATGCACAATGGTATTGTCGCATGGTAGCATGCGAGGTTATGAGATGTTACTCATTCTTGTTCTTATATGTCTATCCCTTATGGTTGTCAATGGAATGAGCTATCCCTTGATGCAGATTGCTCCAGAGTTCCTCTTGCACTCTTCATCGGTAGTCCTTCCCTTATTGCAACTTAATCCCCTGGATTCGCTCGCAAGCAATCCCCTTGTCCTTATTGACGATCGTAATCTCAATGAGGATCATCCTATTATTTTGGATTCGCTCAAAAGCAATCCCCTTGTTCTTAATCCTATTGACGATCGAAATCTCAATGAGGACCCTGTTATCTCGATCGCTGCAGGAGCCACTACTGGTACTGCTACGATACTACTACTGTTATCTCTATCACCGGCAAAGTCGGACCGCGTCACTCCTTCCATGCTCAGCTTCAGCACGGATCGATCGATCGGCCGAGTTAACAAAATTCATCGAAAAATGAGCTCCGACTGCATATGGAAGGCTCGGCTTGTGTGTCTTGCTTCGAGTCATGCTTTATTTAATTCGAACCGCCTGAGCTTAAGTCTTTTC